AGAGGAGTGGAGAGAGTGGGCATCCTTGCCGTGTTCCTATTTTTTAGGGGAATTAGTTGTAGCTTTTCCCCATTAAGTATAATATTGGCTGTTGGTCTGTCATTTAAGGCTTTTGTTTTCAGGAATGTTCCTTCTATTCCTATTTTTTCCAGAGCTTTTTAACATGATTGAGTGCTGTATTTTATCAAAAACCTTTTCCACGCCAATGGAGATAATCATGTGGTTCTTGACCTTGGATCTGTTGATGTGATGGATTACATTAATTGATTTACATATGTTCTGCATCTCTGGGATGAAGCCTACTTGGTCATAATGTATGATTTTTTTTTTTGATATGTTTCTGGATTCTGTTGGCTAGAATTTTATTGGGGAGCTTTGCATCTGTGTTCATCAAAGAGATTGGTCTGTACTCTTTTTTGTTGTTGTTGTGTCTTTGCCTGGTTTGGGGATGAGTGTGATATGGCTTCATAGAATGATGTTGGGATTACTCCCTCTGTTTCTGTTTCTCTGAAGAACTTGAGAATGGTTATTAGTTCCTCTTTAAAGGTCTTATAGAATTCTGTAGTGAATCCATCTGGTCCTAGGCTTTTCCTTGTTGGAAGGTTTCTGATTGCTTCCTCTATCTCATTGTAGGTTATTGACATAATTGATTTATTTCTTCTTGGTTCAGTTTCAGCAATTTATATTTCTCTAGAAATTCATCCATTTCTGCTAGGTTTTCCTTCCTTAGTGAGTATAGCATCTGGAAATATTTCTTTATAATTGTTTGGATGTCTTGGATGTTTCTTGTAATTTTTCCTGTGGCATCCCTGATCTTATTGATTTGGGTCTCTTCTTTTTTTAGTCAATCTTGCCATTAGTCTGTCAATTTTATTGAGTAAAAAAAAAAACAGTTTTTTGTTTTATTAACTTTATAGTTTTCTTAGTTTCTGTCTTGTTAATGCCAGCTCTTATTTTGGTTATCTCACTCCATCTAGCAATTTTAGGTTCAACTTTTTCTTGTTTCTCTAGCAGTTTTCGTTGCATTATGAGATTGTTTACTTGGTCTGTTACCGTTTTCTTGATATGTGCACTGAGGAAGTGGCGTTTGTGGCTCAAGCGGTAGAGCGCTCACCTTCAGCTGAAGAGCGCAGGGACAGCGCCCAGGCCCAGAGTTTAAAAAAAAAAAAAAAAGATTGGAATCTTGGTATGTGCACTGAGAGCAATAAATTTGTCCCTCAGAACTGCTTTCACTGTGTCCCATAGGTTTCTTTGTAATGTATCTTCATTTTCATTGAATTGTAGGAACTTTTTAATTTCTTCTTTAATTTCTTCTGTGACCCATGTGTTGCTCAGCAGTGTGCTGTTTAATTTCCATGTGTTTGAGTTTTTTCTACTATACGCCTTGTTACTGAGAACTAGTTTGATTCCACTATGGTCAGATAGAATACAGGAGATTATGTTGATCCTCTTGTATTTGCTTAAATTCCTTGAACTAAGATATGATCTTAGTTCCATGAAAAAGTTCCCTGGGCTCCTGAGAAGAATGTGTACTGGGTTGTTGTTGGGTGAAAAACTCGGTATATGTCAGTTAAGTCTGCTTGAGATATGGCATCTTAATTCAGAGACCTCTTTGCCAATTCTTTGGATGGTAGACCTGTCCTTTGGTGAGAGTGGAGTATTGAAGTCTCCTAGTATTATTGTATTTGGATCCATCTTTTCCTGTAAACCTAAGAGTATTCACGTAACATATTTGGATGCACCGATGTTTGGGACATATAGATTGACAATGGTGATATCCTCTTCTTGGACTGTTCCCTGTATTAATATGTAGTGACCTTCTTTGTCTTTTTGTAATGATTTTAATGTAAAGTTTATTTTTATCAGATATCTCCTGCCTTCTTGCTTGGGGGCATTGGCACGGTAGATCTTCCTCCATCCTTTCACTCGGAGTTTGCTTTTATCTTTGGCTCTGAGGTGGATCTCTTGAAGACAGCAAATTGATGGATCTTGTTTTCTGATCAGTCTGAAGTTCTTTTTCTTTTGATTGGTGAATTGAGTCCATCAATATTTATGGTTATTATGGAGAAGTATATTGTGTTTCCTGTCATTTTCCTACTTTCCTAAGTTTTTCTTCTTTCCTTTCCTCCTGTGTTTATTAAGTTAGTCTCCTAATGATATCTATCTGGTATGGATCCCTGATCTTGATTGTTTTCTCCATATTATAATCCCTCTCAATATTCTTTGCAATTCTGGCTTATTGTTTATGAATTCATTTAGTTTTTCCTTACTATTAAAATTTTAGTTTCTCCATCGAATGTGAATGCTAGCTTTACTGGATATATCAGTCTGGGCTGGCAGTTACTGGTTCTCAGGGCTCAGATGATACTTTACCAGGCTTTCCTTGCATTCAGTGTGTATGTGGAGAGATCTCCAGTGATTCCCATTATAGAATAGCTCCTTCTTTGCTTTTGCTGCATGCAAGATTGTTTATTTCCACCCTTTTGTCTACCCCATTTATACAAATGTAAAATTTCTTGGTACAGTCTGCTTGTTCTTGGACTTTCCTTTGGCATATTTTGAGTGTTTTTCCATATCTGTAAATTTTTTTTTCCAGTGCCGGCATTTTGTCTTCAGTACCTGTTATTCTATGGAAATTGAGCCATTTATAATTTCTGTCGTTCCTTAGAGTATTAATCTCATCTTTTAGTGAGATGTGTACTGCATCTATTTTTGAGTGCATTTCTTGTTTGAAGGCTTGGATTTCTTGATAGCTTTTTCCTTTGTTCTTTAAATTGCTGATCTATTTCTCATTTTAATTCTTGACTCATTGGCTCTATCATCTCTTGGATGTAGCATTTGTCTTCCATTTCTTTTTCACTTCCACTTGGCGTTCTCCCCTGTGTGGTTGCTGTCTGGGCTGTTCCCACAGGCCGGTGCAGAGGGGCACCATGCCATCACCACGGCCGGTGCAGAGGGGCACCATGCCATCACCACCCCAGGCTGGGCTGGGCTGTTGCTGCCGGCTGGTGCAGAGAGCCTGGGGTTGTTCGCTGTCACCCCAGGCTGGGCTGGGCTGTTGCTGCCAGCCGGTGCAGAGAGGTGCCACACTGTGGTGGTCGTAGGGGCGGGGGCGGGAGGGGTGTCTTTGTGCAGGTTCTGCGTTCCAAGTTTTGTTTGTATTCTCTGGGTCGGCTCTGGCACTTGGGAGTCTTCCAGAAGCCTTGGGACCCTTGTGGCTCTGTGGTCCCTAGCAGGTCCCTAGCGGGTCCCCAGCCAGGCAGTTTGAGCAGCTCGGGGAGGCCCCCCCCCCCCCCCCCCCGACCGCCAGTAAGAGGTGGGGGAAGGGCCTTCCTGCTTTACCATCTTTGTGTAGGTTCTTTTTTTTTTTTTTTTTTTTTTGGCCTGAGTGCTGTCCCTCAGCTCTAGGCTAGCGCTCTACCACTTGAACTACAGCGCCACTTCTGGTTTTCTGGTGGCTTTTATTGGAGATAAGAGGTTCACAGACTTTCCTGCCCAGGCTGGCTTTGAACCATGATCCTCAGACCTCAGTCTCCTGAGTAGCTAGGATTACAGGCGTGAGCCACCGGCTCCCGACTTTATGTAGGTTCTGAAGTTTTTTCCTTTTCCTTTTTTTTACTTCCCATATTGCTCTGAGTAATTGCCGTTTTGGTTTTGTCTTTGTCGTGGGGCTGGAACTCTGGGCTTGGACCCTGTCCCTCAGCTCTTCAGTTCAAGGCTAGCTCTACCACTTGAGCTACAGCGCCACTTCCGGTTTTCTGGTGGTTTTTATTGGAGATAAGAGTTTCACAGACTTTCCTGCCCGGACTGGCTTTGAACCGCAATCCTCAGATCTCAGCCTCCTAAGTAGTTAGGATTACAGGCGTGAGCCACCGGCTCCCGACAGTAATTGCCTTTTTGTAGCTGTGGTCTCTTGGAGAAATGGAGCATTGAGACCCAAACACTATTTGGTTGGAGAGAGCTGTAGTGTTTCCCTACTTTGCTGTTGCCATCTTGGCCCCTCCCCATCATTTGTTTTGAGACAAGGTCTCACTATAGCTCAAGCTGCCTTAAATTCAGTCATACTGCCTCAGTCTTCCAAGGGCTAGGACTGCATCATTATGCATCATTATGACCCTTTTAACTTTTTCAAATTGGTTTCCTCTTAGCTTGGCTAATGATGATTTTACTGTTATAAAATAAAGTATTATAGATCATTCCATCCTTCATGAGGCGAACATTGCATCTATTAGGAAGGAAATTGAGAAACATAAATTCAGAAAACATTGGTGGGGCTGGGAAGGTGGCTCAGTGGTAGAGTGCTTGCCTTGCATGCATGAGGCCCTGGGTTTATTCCTCAGCACCACAAAAACAGAAAAAGCCGAAAGTGGGGCTGACGCTCCAGTGGTAGAGTGCTAGCCTTCAGTGGAAGAGCTGAGGGACAGCGCCCAGGCCGAGTTCAAGCCCCATGACTGACAAAAAAAAAAAAGAATTGATAGTATGCCAGATATTGTGGTTCATGCCTGCAATCTCAGCACTTGGGAGAACAAGGCAGTTGGATTGAAGTTGGAGACCAGCTTGGTCTACATAGGGATAGGGAAATCCTATATAGGATGGGGGTTAGGAGGGAGAAAAAGAGAAGGAAGCATGGTAGGGGAGAAAATGAATCTACACTGATTTTACTGTTTGTAGTAATGAGTTTGCTTCCTGATAGTATGATCACTAAAGAGCAAATTCGGTGACTCAGATGTATAAATTTGAAAACTTTTATCTGCCACTTACTTCATCTGTTGACTATTTCCCTTGTAAGATTTAGCACGTGAAGAATCCAATTGAAGATTGTAAACAAAGTGCAAAGTAACCATGTAAAAATGTCCATTTTTTAAATGTAGTTTTCAAAATGTCAGACCTCAATACAAGTATTTTAGCACCTAAGAGGGGGAAAAAGGCTTAAAGTGGTACTTGTGGCCAAGCTCTTAAACCAGTGTTTTGTTTTTTTCCTTGGGTATGATGTGATCTAGATTGTCAGAAGCTTCAGCTCTGGTAAAAGAGAAGGTGGTGACTTTGTTTGCTGTGCTCTCTCTCCTCGTGGTGAATGGATTTACTGTGTGGGGGAAGACTTTGTGCTCTACTGCTTTAGCACAGTCACTGGCAAGCTGGAGAGAACTTTGACAGTAAGTATTACTAAGGTCATCTAAAGAATTTATGGTAATGCATAGGTTTGGGTTTATGGCTGGCTTGTTACCCTGAGCTTCTCACAGTGTTCCATGCCAGAGCCAACTGCCCCGAACCATTGCCTGGCCTCTCCCTGTAGGTTTCTGGCACTGAAGTGGGTTGCACATTGGAAATTTATATATATGGAAATACCTCAATACTTTGTGTTCTTTGCAGTACATACTTTTTTTACAGTATTACCATTGTGAACCTAAGTATGAAGAAAGTGTAATGGAGGTGTTTTACCATTCAAATAAAAATAAGAGACCATAAGTAATGGTATGAAATTATCTCCTTTACCAGGAAAAATCCTTTAGTGACTCCCTTAGCTTCAGGTAGACAGAAGATGTGTGTACATAAAGCAGAGAAGGGAATAGAACCTGTGGAGCCAGCTAGATTAACCAGATCTTCCTCATGGGGGTTGACAGATAACACATACTTTTCTCTATATCATTTGGAGGGCATATTATTTATGCATTGTCTCCATTGTCCTAATTAGATATTTTTTTGTTGTTGTTGTGGTGGTGTTTTTTTGTTTTTCAGGGTTTTTTTTTTCCTTTCAGCTCTCATATTGAAGTCAGACAAGGAATTAATGCTAGCAGTGTTAAAGTTTCCAAATGTCAGGGGCTTACAATAAAAGTTTTTTGTTGTTGTTGTTGTTGTTGTTGTTATCAGTACTAGGGTTTGAACTCAGGGCTTTATGCTTGCCTGCTGGCTCTACTAAGTTTTATTATTTATTTATTATTTGCCAGTCATGGGGCTTAAACTCAGGGCCTGGGCATTGTCCCTGGGCTGCTTTTGCACAAGGCTACCACTTGTCACAACACCACTTCTGGCTTTTCTGTTTATGCGGTACTAAGGAATCGAACCCAGGGCTTCAGGCATGGTAGGCCAGCACTCTACCAGTCAGCCACATTCTCAGCCCCAAGATTTTGTTTTACAATATGTGAGTTGAATATCCTCTTTTAGCTGTGTCATTTGGAATATGTGAACTTTCAAGATCTTGTCCACTCAGCTCTGGGAACCTCTTTGGGGTGATTTATTAAGATATATACACTCTCTTTACCCATTCCAGGTTCACGAGAAGGATGTGATTGGTATTGCACATCATCCTCATCAGAATTTGATTGCTACCTACAGTGAAGATGGACTCTTAAAGCTCTGGAAACCCTAATTCACCTTTTAAAAATCTAGCTTGAAGCATGTACTTAGAAGACATACTTATGTGTTTGTTTTTTTCAGGTCAACTTTCTAAAAAAAAGAAAAAAGAAAAAGTATCCCATTTAGCCAAGCATAATTACAGTCTTAAAAAGTTACTTTTAAAAATATATTTTTAAGATTTTAGTTTTTCTGCTTATAACTATGGCAGACATATTACTGATATTTCTAGGAAAAAAAGATGGACTTCTTTGATTATCTAAAATCCTGATTGCAATTTACTTCCCATCATAAAACTTGTAAATACCCCAGTATTCAGTAGCTGTTTTTTAAGATGTTAATAAAGCACACATTTCTGGATACTTTGTAAATAATATTCATCTCGTCAGTATGTTTACTAAAAATGGTGAGAGAACTCATTATCATCAAGTCCTGAGTTCACATTGATAGCAGTTGGATTGACTGACATAAAAACTATCATAATCTCATGGTACTGTCTTTTTTGCTCATTTTGAGCTGTGCCTTCACCTATGTTCAGTCTAACTTCAGGGAATATAGTCCCCCATCTTCTGGTTGGAAATAGTTGCAGGATCAGTTGAGACCAGTTTTGGCATCATCTGTCATGTGGAGGAGGGTTTGGCATTGAAAATGAATTGCTGTTACTAGATAAGCACTATACCTCTTGAGCTACGCCCCCAGCCCAATATGCTGTTCTGAAAAATTAGACAAGAACCTGAGATTTAAGTCTTTTGTAATGATCATAGTCATCAGCTAAAAACATTTCAAAGATAATAAAACTCTTAAATACTTTGCATATGGATTTCTCTTTCACCTTTAAACCAAAGATGTAGGGCTTGGGGACATAGCTCAAGTTGTAGAGGGCCTGCAAGTGGGAGGCCCTGAAGGGGGTGGGGGGGGGGAATCAACTGAGAAATGTGTAGGACTCTTAAAGATCTTATTTCTAGGCTTTCTATGCCCTCCTTTAAGCTTAGCATTTAAGAACAAACTAGTGGGGAAAAGGGGTTTTTTTGGTCAGTCATGTGCCAGGATGCTGTCCCTCAGCTCTTCAGCTCAAGGCTAGCACTCTACCATTTGAGCCACAGTACCACTTCTGGTTTTCTGAATGTTTTATTGGAGTTAAGAGTGTCACATTTTCCTGCCCAGACTGGCTTTGAACTGCAATCCTCAGATTTCAGCCTTCTGAGTACCTAGCCAGCAGCGCCTGACAAAAGGTTTTGTTTTTTTTTAACTTTTGCATTCTCATTTTTTGTGACTTGAATGTGGCCCCATCCTATGCCTGGCACATAATAGTCAATATTGGCTATTAATGTGCAGCACTAAGAAACCTTTTCCAGTCATCATCTGTAACTTATTTCCCTTTTGCTGCAAACCCCACTGCCTTTTGTCTCAGTTAATTTAGTTTATAGCAGTTTTGATCTCTTAAAAATCATGGGAATTGAATATATCCATTAGTTTAGGACTAATATACAACGTAGTTTACGTTTTTTTTTTTTTTATGGTGGTAATGGGCTTTTAGCTCAGGCCTTCACTTGGTATTTTTTTATTTACAGCTGGTTATCTACTTTAGACATGCTTCTAAGTAAAAGTTTTAAATTGGCATGAGGAAAGTTTGTCACACATCAGATACCCCTCCCCCCCACCACTCAATTGTGAGTTTAACATTGAGCTATATCCTCAGCTGTATACTAAAATTATTTGAAGGTAAGGTAGCACTTGGGAGGCTGCATAGGTAGACCCTTGTCAAAACAATCAACAAAACAAAAGCTGGGAATAAAGGACTTTTGCATGAAGCAATCTTTAGTAAAGAAAGGTTAGGGAGGGACCTGAATTGGATTTTTTTTCCCCCGTTGGTCGTGGGGCTTGAACTCTGGACTTTGGCGCTGTCCCTGTGTTCTTCAGCTCAATGGTAAGTGCTCTACCACTTGAGCCACTGCACCATTTCGTTTTCTGGCGGTTAATTGGCAAAGAGTCTCAAGGACTTTCCTGCGCACGCTAGCTTTGAAGAGATCCTCAGATCTCAGCCTCCTGAGTAGCTAGGATTACAGGTATGAGCTATCAGCGCAGTTTTTAGTGAGATAATACATTGGTCCTAACTGCAAAACTTGAAAGCCCAACTTTTATACTTTCCTCAGGCAGTATTTGTTAAATCTTTCAAGACTTGCCGGGCGCCGGTGGCTCATGCCTGTAATCCTAGGTACTCAGGAGGCTGAGATCTGAGGATCTCGGTTCAAAGCCGGCCCAGGCAGGAAAGACCGTGAGACTCATCTCCAATAAACCACCAGAAAATCGGAAGTGGTGCTGTAGCTCAAGTGGTAGAGCGCTTGCCTTGAGCTGAAGAGCTGAGGGACAGCGACCAGGCCCAGAGTTCAAGCCCCACGACCGACCAAAAAAAAAATCTTTCAAGACTTTTAAAAATAGGAACCTTTTTTTTTTAACATGTGTGACTGGGAATTAAACACAGGCTTAGGCTCTTGCTTAGCTTTTTTGCTCAAGGCTGGCACTCTACTACTTGAACCACATCTCCATTTCCAGCATCTTTCTGGTATATTTGGAGATGAGTCAGATTTGCCTGTCTGGGATAAAACACTGATCCTCAGATGTGAGCTGCCTGAGTAGTTTGAATTGTTAAGTGTTAGCCACTGGTGTCTTGCTTTGCCTGGATTTTCTTAAAACACTAGATAGCAGTCCCCTCCAGGGCTGAAGGCTGAAACCCCAGACCCTTCACCAGCAGCCTGTGAATGTACAAGTTACCTGTTTCCTGTTTGCCCATTGGGCTTGGATCTAGGACAAGGAAGGTGAGCCACTCATCTAGTGGGATTGGGAGCAACTGTCAGGAGTGGGGTCATTGGGTTGTTTTCCCCATAACATTCCTGGGCTGTTTTGTAAGACTAGTTAGCAAAAGCTGATGCAAGCTAGGTGCCAGGAATCAACAAGCACTATTTTGAAATGAGGCTTGTGATTTGGTTATTAGGAAGTAGCCTGGGCTCATCAGACTTGATATTGTTCTCTACCACATAAAACTCAACATATACATAAAAGCTTGTCCTTTATACCTATTCATCGAAAATTAAGATTCATGGCACAAATCTCAGGTTCAGTATTCTTAATTTTCTCAGAACCACAGAATGAAGATCTGGGCCCGTAGCTTATATCTGTTCTCAGCTACTCATGATTAAAGCCAGTCCAGGCAAAAAAGACTAACCAGCTAAAAGTTGGATGTAGAGTTCTGGCTCAAATGGCAGAGCACCAGCCATAAGCAAAAAAGGTAAAGGTGCATGTTCCAGCCAAGTTCACATTGAAAACCAATTTAGTGGCAAAGCTCCATTTCTTCTCTACTGCCTGCCTGAATTTTGCTGTCATTTTCCTCACCTCAATCTTTAGGAATGGAATTGGGACAGAGTTATAATCCCTTAAGTTTTACCTAAGAACAATGGGTAGAGATGATCGGACAGCACTGAAGTCCATAGTGAAAACATCAATGGGTAATTTACAGATCTGCACAAACTGGTTTATGGCCCAGCATGTTCAAATTCGACTAGTATACTATTTTCTCATAAAGCAGGAAATTAGGTAAAGTGTTTAAAAAAGATGCTTTTGCTCTTAGTTCCTTAAGGTTATGATGGTCAGTTTAACAATTTCAAGTGAAGAAACCTTTTTTTGAAGGAATTGTGCAGCTTGTTAGCATTCTCTGTGCTTTAGAATCATTTCTATTTTAAGTAAGATGCTAGAAAGTACATCATTTTCCCAACTTGGTAAATTCTGGTCTGATCTTGTTTAAGGTTAACTCTCCTAAGTCACATATGCAGGTATTGGTATTTTCCCTGTGTTGGTAGTTTTCTAACCCTCAATGCAGTCATTCAGTGCTTTGACTTACTACCAAAGACCTTTGGGACTTAACCAGTTTTAGTTTCTGTATTTCAATTATTTGTGGTTGAGAAACCTTGTACTAAAAGATTTGAGAACACTTTTAAAACACTAGATTTTGGTTCTTGAGTAATACCTGGCCTCCACTTTCACTCCCTGCACGTTTGTTTTAAGGAATCATAATTCAATTTTTAAAAGCAAATGTCGTGGTGATCACAGGGGAAAAAAAAACCTGTAGTGACACACTGGAATTACTTTGTAATCAGTATATTAAGGAGACATTTCATACATTTCAGTATTGCTTAAATTCTGGTATCCAGATTTAAGCTTATGAACATATGACTTTAAACATACAGTTAAAGCTATTCATTGTAATTTGCTATACTACCAACATCGAATTACAGTTACTTTGGAGCAAATAGTTTAAAGTAAGCCTGTAACATATCTAAGGAACACCTTCCTAGGTTATACATGCAACTTCTCAATGTACAGGTCTTTTCAATTGCTTTTTTCTACCCAACTCTGAAAGTCTCTTGATACTTAAGGGCTTTATCATGGTTCAAAGGGAAAAAGAACATAACTATTTCCACCAACATAATATATATATGCATATTTATATATGAACACACATATATATATTTAAAAAGATGACAGTGGGGATGCAATTCTAGAAGTGCAAGCCCTTAGAAGCAGCATATGATAAACCTCTTCACTAGGAAGGTATCATTTCTGTATCACTGTTAACACGCTAAATTATATGAATTACGCCACTCTTCAAGTAATAGTTGAGGCAATAAAATGCAAAGGCATCACAATGAGTCCACTTAATACAAATAGCTAGACAAACCAACATTTCTCTACAAATTAATTTCTCTTTTTCAGATTACTAGCCAAATACAAAGTTTTAGCCCCACAGATTAATGATAAAAGGCCATACACCAAAGTCAACACATATACCTAGCATTTCAGTTTAAGCTTTGTCCATGTACACAGCTGAATCAATTACAAGATGTGGTTTAACAGATGCTAAAGGAACTATTTTAAAAGTAGTTTTTACAGGTATTAAAACTTCATCTTGCACACTGAAGTCATCATACAGAGCAAAGTCAGAGCTTTTATATTTGTTTATTCTTCATTTAACTTTTAAAACACTACTACAGTTGAATATTACAACAAAAAACAATAGCAAGTAGTGAGCTTATTATGATTAGTCCTTCACTCATTCACTACTGCATTTAAAATGCAGCAGTGGGTGCTATTCACTGACCCCATTACGAGGTTTGACACTGAACACCACCTCTAGGGTGATGTTCATCATCCTCGTAAGCTTCTCCATTATAATGGCGCCGTCTTTCCTGATTTGGATCAAAGTCCACCAGTTCTACCTGATCCATTTCATCAGTCTCTTCTACTTCCTTCCTCTCAGGAAGGAGTTTTTCCAGCAAAGAGAGTTTATCAGGAGAGAGGAAGCCATTTTCAGGAAAGTTTACCTGAAGAAATAAACTTCTGTTAATTTCATTCCATTATTAGCTTCTTAAAAAGTATCATGGATCCATTTCCCCCAAGGAAAACACAGATGACCGCATATAATCTTAAATTACTTATAATGCCAGGTTAGAAAAGGCTTAGTGTCTAATGTTCAATAATTATGACGGAAGTTCAGGTTTCTATGACTCAAAAATGTCATCTTTGACCCAAACATTTTAATTTAATGTTGTAAGATTGGGGAAAATGTTTATGAATCCTAGTAACAAAACTGAACACTATAAATTTTTTCCAAGAAACCCTAACTCACAGACAAGGGGAAATGGAGCTTAAGCCCTGATTTTTGTAAGCTAACCATTCTTAAATATTTGAGTATTACAACTTACCTTAAACTCAATGATCAGGCGCCCCTTTTCATATGGTCGTCGATAAATTGGCATGCCTTCATTTAGCACACATTTGATATCTCCATGCTTGACAATCTGACCTAAAAACAATAAAGCCAAGTTCTTCCTTAAAAGTATGGCCACATTTTTTGTAAGGCAAGGAAAACAATTTACAGAGAAATGTCGAACTGGTAGGACATTTATGTAGGAAAACAATCTTCATACCTTCTAATTGTGGACTTTCTAGGGGCTACCAAACATAGCTAGGTTTCTTTTTTTAAAAATAACCTCATTCAGCCCAGGAAGTATCTATAGTTCTCAACACTAGACTAGAAAGAGAAGATCCATGTAGTGACTATACCTGGATGAGAAGTGATGACTATGGTTCGGTTATCAAGAGTAGAGATTGGCTTTTGGAAGCCACACAGTGCTTCAACCAGTTGTATGTCCATACACATGAAAAGGTCTTCTCCTCGTCTGTATCAATGCAAATATGGCACATTTATATATTTCAACTAATGATCAAAAAGTACCATCACACAATCATGTTTCCTTGACAGCAACAGCAAGGAAATTACAGGTGCTCCCTGGCACCTGGCTAGTTAATGATACATTGTAACCTATATTCTAAGACAAACAAAAACCTCATTTAAATAAGGATAAATAGCCATTGGCTCACACGTAAAATCTGAGCAACTCAGGAGGCTGAGATCTGAGGATCATGGTTTGAAGCCAGCCAAACAGGAAAGTTAGTGAGATGCTTATCTCCAACTGCCTAACAAAAGCCTGAAGTAAAGCTATGGTTCAAATGGTAGAGAAAGCTCGGGGACAGCTGTCCAGCCTAATTAAGGCCAAGCCCCAAGGACCAGCACAAATAGACAACTAAATATGCAAGATGTCAGCTGAGTGGTTAACTTCTAAGTTTTTACCTTGTAAAAACAGCATGGTCCTTCTGATCTAATACAATGATGATATCTCCGGGTTCCAATCCTGGCTCTTGGTCTCCTTCACCATGGAATGTTATCTTCTGGCCATCTTTCATGCCTGTTAAGATGAATTTTGTACTTTTAGTGCATACTCAATACTAAGGTCCTGTCCCAAAACCTAAAGGAAAAAATATGTATTTGTGGGTGCATGAAAATGTCAGTAACAAGTCTGTGGATACCAAACCTCACAGAAATGAGAACAAAAACTAGATGCAAACAGAGAAGGCTCCAAATCTCACAGCTTATTTCCCAGAGACTTATTAAAGTGGTTAAATTTTAAGTCTACGTTGGCACAGAGACTGGCAAACAGCTTCTTTTCAATTGTTACTTCTAAGCACCTATACCAATTTTTACTCTGCTTAAACCAACTTGAACAGTATTGAAATACAAAATCTGTATGTAAACCTGAAGTGAAAATATAGAATCTAGGCTGACATATGCTTCAGTGGTATAGTGCTTGTCTCAGCATGTGGAAAACCCTAGGTTCTAGTTCTACCCTCAAGAGCTAGAGCAAGAGGGAAAAAAGGACGTTTAACATTAGAACCAAATGGTCAATATCAAAAGTACAGAAAAAGGAATATTTTCCAACGGAGCAAATATATATATATATTTTTTTTGGTCCTGAGGCTTGAACTCTGGCCTGGGCACTGTCCCTGAGTTCTTCAGCTCAAGGTGAGCGCTCTACCACTTGAGCCATAGCGCCACTTCCGGCTTTTTTCTTTCTGCTTATGTGGTGCTGAGGAATCGAACCCAGGGCCTCATGCATGCAAGGCAAGCACTCTACCACTGAGCCACCTTCCCAGCCCTCTTCCTTGGTTTTTTGCTCAAGGCTGGTACTCTACTACTTGTGTCACATCCCTAGTCTGGCTTTTTTTTTTTTTTTTTTGGGGGGGGGGGCCTGTGGGGTCTGAACTCTGGGCCTAGGCGCTGTCCCTCAGCTCTTCAGCTCAAGGATAGCGTTCTACCACTGGAGCCACAGCACCACTTCCAGCTTTTTCTGCTTATGTGGTGCTGAGGAATCGAACCCAGGGCCTCATGCATGCAAGACAAGCACTCTACCACTGAGCTACCTTCCCAGCCCTAGTCTGGCTTTTTTTATAACTAGTAAGTTGGAGATGGATCTCCTTTTTCTTCTAGGTTGGCTGTGAACCAAGATGTGGGTCTCAGCTTCCGAGTAGCTAGAATTATAGGTATGAGCTACAACACCCAGTGATCGTTTTTTTTTTTATTATTGTTTATCATGAGTCTTGAACTCAGAGCCTGGGCTTTTGCTCAAGGATAGAGCTCTACCACTTTGAGCCATAGCACCACTTGCAATTTTTGAGTGGTTTATTGGAGATAAAGTCTCAAGACTTTCCTGCCAGAGCTGACTTTAAACCAAGTCTCCTGAGTAGCTGGGATTATAGGCATGAGCCATGGTGCCAGTGATGGATTTTTCACCTAAGTTTCTGTTTAGAGAAATATTCAAACCTTTTACTAAAAAGGTGGGAGAGTTAACCACCAGAAAACCGGAGGTAGAGCTATGGCTCAAAGTGGTAATGCTAGCCTTGAGCAAAAGACAGCATGTAACGTCTGAGTTCAATGGCCAAAAAAAAAAGGGCTATTAGATACATACTGGTATGCACATACGTATGCACACACATCCTGTGTTTGCAGATTAATGATCACTATGAATTATGTACTTAAACAATTTTTACTTTTTGGGCATGGAAAACATTAAACTAGTCAGTGGTTAACTCATGATTACTATGTAATATGTCCTTCATATACATGCTCTGCCTATTTTGAAGCAAAATCCAGCTATACCCATAAATCCACAAGTATTTCATTATAGACTTTAAACCCAAATACAAATTTCATATTGATAAAATTTAATTTTTTACAATAAGGCAAAGTAACTGTCTTGTTATGCTAGTACTTGAACTCTGATAGGTTTTCCCAGTTGTTCTAAGTGACTCCAAGGTAATGCAGTATAAACTCTAGTACTGATGGGCCAATTAAGGGGGAAAAAAATAGACTTGCAAAGTCAATTTGACAAACCTCCTCTCTTCCCCCACTACTTTTCTGAATGGTCCTGGAGGTAAAGGAGGGCAGTCAGTGTCATGATTCACCTGGTACTATAGTCATCCCTGACATCAGCAGTGGACTGGTCCCAGAGATCTGCCCAAAATACCAAAATCCGAGGATACTAAAATCCCTAACATAATAAAATGGAAAGAAATATCTGCATATAACCACCTGTGAATTTTACCTCTCCATACTTTAAATCATCTCCAGATTAATTGTAATACCCAACACGATATAAATCCTATTAAAATATTTGTCTATTTTTTCAGGGAATAACATGTTCTGTGCAGTCACATTTTTCTTCCCTAAATATTTCCAACCCTGAATACAGTGTGAACACACCCCTGTAACCCACAGATAAAAAGGACCAGCCTGAATACAGATCTATAACCCATAAAGGACCTATAACCCATAAAGCTTTGTTCAAACTATTTAAATGTTTGCTTAAATTTACATGTATTTGTATAATAAAAACACATTGCCCTCTACATTTTAAAACTTCTTTGGTAGCATTAAGAAAAGCTAGATACTGGGCTGGGAAGGTGGCTCAGTGGTAGAGCGCTTGCCTTGCATACCGGAGCCCTGGGTTCGATTCCTCAGCATCACATAAGCAAAAAGAAAAAAAAAGCCAGAAGTGGCGCTGTGGCTCAAGTGGTAGAGCGCTAGCCTTGAGTTGAAGAGCTGAGAGACAGAGCCCAGGCCCAGAGTTCAGGCCCCATGACCGGACCAAAAAAAAAAGAAAAGCTAGATACTGGTGGTTCATGCCACCAGGCTGAGATCTGAGGATTACATCTCAAAGCCAGCCTGAGCAGGAACATCCATGAGACTCCTATCTCCAATTAACCTAGAAAGCTGAGAGTGGCTCTGAGTCTCAAGTGGTAGAACCCTTACCTTGAACTGAAGAGCTCAGGGAAAGCACCCAGGCCCAGAGTTCAAGGCCCACAACCGATTAAAAAAACAAAAACAAACCCCTGCAGACTAGTCTGGGCTACACAGCAAGAACCTCAACTCAAAACACACCACTCAATCAATCAATGTACCAATCCACTATGAAAGCCTTTAATTTTATTTGTTTTTGGGTGCAGTCGCGGAGCCTGAACTCTGGGCCCTGGGCACTGTCCCTCAGCCCTTCAGCTCAAGGCTAGCGCTCTACCACTTGAGCCACAGCGCCACTTCCAGCTTTTTTTTTCTGCTTATGTGGTGCTGAGGAATCAAACCCAGGGCCTCAGGCATGCAAGGCAAGCGCTCTACACTGAGCCACCTTCCCAGCCCCAGCCTTAAATTTTAATAAGCCTACTCTTCACCCAAACCTTGTCCTTTCTCCCCACTTCTGAAGACCCCAATTTAACCACAATTTCTAAAGAAAGTGGGAGAATTATGGCTCAACAAGAAAAGTACGGAGGAAAATGTTATTCAACCATTTATATACTAAGCTAATTAAGGAGATACCATATTACATGAGGAAATTCTGGATCACATATAACCTAAGGATTTTTTAAAATTATAAAACAATTAACTTGCCATGGAAATGGATGGATCGGCACTCACCTTTGTCAATATGAACTTCCAGAATCTTCTTCTCTCGAACTATCTTCCTTCCATTGCAGCTTTTACATCTATCTTTAGGGCTGATCCTTTCTCCATGGCCCTGGCACTCCATGCACACAGACTGAATTTGCTGAACCATTCCAGGTCCTATCTGATGAATTCGTATTTGCATCCCAGTACCTCGGCAGTTGGGACAGCATTCCACTGCCCCTTTTTTACCACCACGGCCTATACAGTTTAAAGAAAATCATATATGAATTTAGTAGTGGCAGACAGAGTAGGATTTTAGCAAGACAGTTCTAAAATACTAGTTTCTTATTATTTGTAAGGTGTTATGGATACTGTTTTAGGAATAGAAAACTCACAAGGAGTCAGTTCAGAATCCAATTAATCAACTGCATATAAAATTCAATGTATGGCATAAGACTGGTTTTACCCCATTAATCCAAGAGTCGGAGGCACTCAGAAGCTAGAAGGCAAGTTTAGGCTCCAATGTGAATTCTAGGTTATTGTGGGCTTCAAAGCTAAGCCCACACTGGGTGCCAGTGGCTCACGCCTATAATCCTACTCAGGAGGCAGAGATCTGAGGATCACAGGTCAAAGCCAGCCTGAGCAGGAATATCCATGAAACTCTTATCCCCAATTAACAACAGAAGTGATGCTGTGGCTCAAGTGGTAGTGTTCTCCTTGAGCTGAAGAGCTCAGGGACAGCACCCAGCCCAGAATTCAAGCCCCATGACTGGAAAAAAAAAAAAAAAAAAAACGGTGGGCTGGGAAGGTGGTGGCTCAGTGGTAGAGTGCTTGCCTGGCATGCATGAGGCCCTGGGTTTGATTCCTCAGCACCACATAAGCAGAACAAAACTGGGAAGTGGTGCTGTGGCTCAAGTGGTAGGGCACTAGCCTTGACTGAAGAGCTGAGGGACAACGCCCAGACCTAGAGTTCATGCCCCACAACCAACAAAAAAAGGTAAGAGTTTACCTCAAAAAGTCAAATAAAGAAAATGAACTAATAGGGAAGAAAAATAAAAATAAAATACGTTCTATTTTGCTAATACTTCTCTAAGAGACTCAGCTTTTAATATTTGTGTCAGTGTTAGGTCTTCAGCAACATTTTCAGTTATGTGAAACATGTTAAAAGACTATACCTTCACATTTGTCACAAATCACATTCTTCTGCAGAGCCAGTTTTCTTGTTGCACCGTTATATAAATCTTCTAAGGTAACTGAGAGTTGATGCACAACATTTTTACCTAGAACAAAATGTTCATGAAGTCCATGTAAATGTTTTGTTTCAAAGCATGACACAAAATGACAAATAACTGAAGTTGAGTTTCACATGGTGTAACAACTGTTGAGTAACCCCTCATGAACAATATTCAAATCATACAGGATTCTCAAATTGTGATGTAATTACAGATAAGGAAAACTGAGCCAAACAATATGTCTAAGGATATACACAAACCTTAGAAATATGGCAATGATAAATACGTCTATAAAAAAATCACTGAATGTTATTTAACTGGGCCCATTTACAATAAAAACAAAACATGCAGTTCTTCAAAGCTTTCACCTAGCATGTAATTGTGTTATGTAGCCAGTTACTTCATTACTTTAACACAGAAAATTCCTATACACTGAGACACCACGGAGATACAGATTCCTACTTCTCAGAAGCATTATTTACCATAAGACCAATACTGGTTAAAGAAAAATTATCTTCTACCACTCTGTAATATTGCATTGTCCAGTATCAGTTAATGCAACGATGGAAAAGCTTTATTTGTATTGTCCAATACAACAGCCTCACAGTCACACGTAGTTATTGGATTCATCGTCTGATGGCTACTTCCAACTAAAGAATTCTATTTTTTCCTCATGTGGTTAGTGGCTACAAAGGAATATGCTTTACATCACTTACATAAGTGGAAGGTTGAGATCACATAAGGATAGTGGGGTTAGAGTCCCTCATCAGGGTTAATGAGTTCCTAGCTAGTGATCCTTCCAATAGGACTTTATCCACCAACAAAACAGTACTGCCTTATCTTATGCCTAATAAAAAGTTCTCCAAATTCCTTTCTGCACATGCTTAATGAGCATTTACTCTCTAAATACATTATGAAACATTCTTTATGCTCCTAGCTTGACCTTTAGTTTAGGTAGTTGGCTTTGGATTGCTTAAATCTTTCTTCTGATCTTAATGTCATAAACTATAAGAAAAATTCCTGCCAGGTCCCAGTGGCTCACGCCTGTAATCCTAGCTACTCAGGAGGCTGAGATCTGAGGATCTCAGTTCAAAGCCAGGCTGGGCAGGAAAGGCCATGAGACCAATCTCCAATTAACCAACAGAAGTGGCCCTGTGGCTCAAGTAGTAGAGTGCTAGCCTTGAGCTTAGGGACAGGGTCCTGGCCCAGAGTTCAAGCCCCACAACCAACAGAAAAAATGATTCTGGAATTTGATTTAGCTCATTTTCCACAACAAAACAAAACAATCCCACAACTCTGAGATAAGCAATATAGGAATATTCCAGTGGTTAACTTTTAGTTCAAAGTGAAATAATTCATTCTAGCAGTGATCTACTCATCAGCCATTCTTTGTTTAAACTACACTGGAAAAAGAAATGACCCTAACTTCTCTACACCAGAATGCTATAAAGCCTAGAGATCATTTTTTCCTAAATAGTAAAATACATATATGTTGAGATTTAATGGACAGCAGGCTACTTGGATAAAACTGAAACAAGATTTAATGGACAGCAGGCTATTTGGATGTAATGGTTCTGTTGTCAGCTTGACTCATGAACTTGAGAATTTAGGTTTCTGAACTTTAATTCACCTTTCTCTAAAAAAATGTCCTTGTAGCTACCACTAGGTTTAAGGGGCAGGGAAATACAAAGGGCTTTGAAATGAGTACTCATCTTTTGCCACTTCACTGGCTTATTTTTAGCTTCATCTAAAAATGATAGCAGAAATCAAACACACTGTTTCAGTTCAGTGTACAATACTATACCAACATGAAAAAAAAAACCCACAATTTAAACTGGGTGAATTTTTTTGACCAGGAACAGTATTTTGCTGCAAGTAGACTGGAATTTTTCATACCTCGCCTTTCTCTCTGCATCCTTCCTCCTCCTCCAAAAAACATATCAAAGATGTCCATGGGGGAGCCAAAACCACCACCTGCTCCCCCCTCCTTAATTGCCTGTTCTCCTCCTTTGTCATATAATTCTCTTTTCTTGGCATCAGAGAGAACCTCATAAGCTTGAGAAATCTGTTTAAACTGTTGAGGAAAAAGTAAAATCCACAAAAAAGTGTTACAAAGCATAGCTACTATATAAATTAGATACAATTTCATAGACAAATATTCAGCTATGTTTAAAAATATACTACTCACCTTTTCTCCTTCATTTGGATTCTTATCAGGGTGGTATTTCAAGGCTAGTTTCCTGTAAGCCTTTTTCAATTCTTCCTGAGTGGCATTGGGTTTGACTCCCAAAACATCATAGTAAGTCGTTTCTTTCACCATTTTCTAGCCTGCAAAGGAGAAAAAGGAATTGTAACCAGCTTTCAAAGCATGGTTTTTAACAATCAGGGCGAAGGTAACCTGTTCTTCCTCAAACTCAAGAACAGTGCCTTCCTTAAAGAGAATCCCTGCAATAATTCAGTTGTTAAATTCTAACAGGAAATACAAGCTAACAACTACCAGGGAATTTAAAAAGCCTTCTAGCAGTTGACTCCTCCCCGCTCCTCCCTTCCTCCCCCCCCCCCCCCCCCCCCCGCAGCAAAGCTACCACATTAGCCTAACTACAACTGTGATCTCGATTCTTCCGGCTCCCCTTCCCCAGAAGCGGTGAAGGCAGCAATCCAAAGATGCACCAATAGGTTCCATCAGTTACTACTACATAATCACTATCTTTGGCACGTCTGATAAAATCAACACACGCTCCAGATAAAGATGGTATCGCGGCACGTGGGGGGATGGGGCAGTGGTTTATGAAACCGGTCTCCGGAGAGCGAGCTCTCCAGGCCCCTCCCTCCGGGGTGTTCCTCAGCCACATTGCTTCCAGCTTACCCACGTTCACCGGCCAACCCTCTCCCGTGCTCCCGTCCTCAGGTACACCCCCCCACCGCCCCCCCTCACACACAACCTCCGGCACTTGGCGCCGACCGTTAAGGTTTCCTTCCTTTCTCCCTCCCGCTCGCCCAGGGTCGGAGGGGTGGAGGTGGGAAGCCCAGCTCACAACAAAGAGAGGGAGGAGAGACCAGAGCAGCGCCAGCCGCAGCCTCCGCCCGGCTCCTCCTGCAACCCCTCACCCCTGCCTCGCTCCGCGCGTGCGCGCAGCGCTGCCCACCCGGCGCGGGCGCGGGCGGAGGGACGCGGCGGCGCGCACGGCGGCGAGGCCGAGGGCGGCCCGGTCCTCGAAGAGCTCGGGGTGGGCGGGGGAGGCCGAGAAGGGCCTCGGGCCCGCTCCACCGCGGTGCCCCGCTGGTCCCCCGCCCCACAAACGGGGAATGGTGGCTCCGGGAACCCTCCGTCCCCTCGCCCACGCGGATCCAACCGCCTCTCGGCTGCGGCTCCATCCGGCTTCTTGGCACCACCAAGCGGCTCCACCCGGGGCCTCGGGGAAAACGCGAGGGCTGAAACTCACCGGTGAGCGGGCTGGGGCCGGCGGCGGAGCGGGAAGGAGCGTGTAGCTGTACGCAGCTAGGGCAGCCGCCGCTCCTCCAACCTCTCTCCGAGCGTTCTGGAAAGTTCCGCCCGGCCCGCCGCAGCCGTCGTCTTTTGTAGTCTAGCCCGGACGCGTCATTCGCCGGAAGTCCCGCCTCTCTAGCAGCTGCCACCGCCCCGCGGTTACCTAGGCAACGGCGCGGGGGCGCTCGGAGCCGGCTGAGCTGTGCCGAATGGCCTTGTTGGGGGGGCAGGCGCACGCCTGCGTTTCTGAGGCTCCTGGAACCTTCTGGAGCCTTTTTCTCCATTCCCGGGGGGCAGAGGGCGCCGAGGTTGTCCGCTGGAAGGGGCTGTGGCCCTGGAGCGGTGCGGTTCCGTGGCACATTCCCCCGCCCCCCCACCTCGTTCCAAATCAGTGGGCAGCCGGGGAGGCCCGGCGGAGGGGGGGGGAGCTGGTCCGCGTGCGGAAGGGGAGGGGGCTTCTCGGCACACAGGCCTGCTGTGTGTGTGTGTGTGTGTGTGTGTGTGTGTGCGTGTGTGTGCGTTCAGTTGGGAACCTGCTGGGCAGGAAATGCAGAGCAAGGCTGGCCCGGCGACATCAGAGTCACCAAGCTTGGATTTGGGGTTTTTTTCCCTCGCGCAGCCCAGGGGACACTGATAGTCCACCGAATGGCCCCTAAGCCTGTTACCTGTTTCGGATCTTGCGGGCACTAGGACCTTTGGAGCATTAGCAGCCTGGGGCTGCACTAATCCAGGGGAAAATTCGATGGCTTTAATGCGAGCTGAGGGCCAGCTAGGCTTTCTACATTGCAAGAGACACTTAACTGCGACCAATTATTTTAATATAACTTATTTGCAAGTCTGGCTAGTCTGTGAGTCCGGATCTACCTACGTTCTGCAAATTCAGTCCTTGAATTTTCAAACGTAACAATTAGGACGGCCACAAATGGAGTAACACAGCAGGCATTGGTTTCTACCACCGATGCAGGTGGAGATGAGAGTTGAAAAAGCCTAGTTCACCTTGTTTTAGTGGGGTGGGGGAAGCAAGTCAGGGAACTACAAGAGAAACCATAAGAGGTCAGCACAGGAGAAGCTCCTGTTTTAACTTGATGGGACCTGAAAAGTTTTCCTGTGAAAGTGGCAGCTGAGCTGAGTTTTGAAGAAGGAAGGAGAGCATTCCAATAATTGACAGGGGAAGCCTAAGGTGTGGAATAAGAACATGTTAGGAAATTACAAGTCATTGGATGTACCCAAGCTTAAAGGAGCTCACCTGGCTGGAGGGGAGGTCTCAAAGCTGCTTGGGAGACATCCTTCCCTCCAGTATAGCTTGCTAAGCCAAGGACTTTGAACTTCTTGAAAGGATCCCTATGTCACCTCTTCATTAAACTGCCTTCCAGTCACAGATTTCTAATTTCCCAAATGAACATTTTCACTTCTGGGTGCTTTTGTTTTGGCTGAAAAAAAATCTAGTTTTTCCAGTCTTAGGCATTACCTTCTCAAATATCCCCATCTATCTATAAAGTGTTTTTTTTTTTTAAATCAACATTTTTAACTAAAAGTCTATATTGTCAGGCAGTATACTAGTGTATAATATATATAAATAATGCAGAAATCTGGTGCCAGAGCCTCATTCCTGTAATCCTAGCTACTCTGGAGGCTAAGATCTGAGGGTAGACATTTGAAGCCAGCTGGGACAGGAAAATCTGTGAGACTCTATCTCCAATTAACCACTCAAAAACCAGAAGTGGAGCTGTGGCTCAAAGTGGTAAAGAACTAGCCTTGAACAAAAGAGATCAGGGACAGACAACAGGCCCCAAGTTCAAGCACCAGGAATGGGGGGGAAAATTTTGTAAATTGGGTGACTGAACAAGATGGATGGTACTTAAAACCCAACTTCCAGAATTTAAATTCATTTGTACAAGTATTTAATAAATTTTTTCAAAAAAATCCTGTGAAATGTGGCTTAGTGGTAGACTGGTTGCCTATAATTTAGCCACTACATATAAAATAAGTGTTTTTTTAGGTGTTAGGAAGCAAATAAATTTGGTGAGGTGGTCAATATAAAAGTGAGGTAGGGGGGGCTGGGAAGGTGGCTCAGTGGTAGAGCGCTTGCCTTGCATGCATGAGGCCCTGGGTTCGATTCCTCAGCACCACATAAGCAGAAAGAAAAAAGCCGGAAGTGGCTCAAGTGGTAGAGTGCTAGCCTTGAGCTGAAGAGCTGAGCAACAGCGCCCAGGCCCAGAGTTCAGGCCCCACAACCGGACCCCCCCCCCAAAAAAAAAAGTGAGGTAGGGGCTAGGAATTTGTCTTAGTGGTAGAGTGCTTGCCTAGCATGCATGAAGCCTTGGGTTCAAATCCTCAGTACCACATAAATAGAAAAAGTTGGAAGTGGCTCTCTGGCTCAAATAGTAAAGTGATTGTCTTGAGCAAAAAGAAGCTCAGGGACAGTGCCCAGGTTCTGAGTTCAAGCCCTAGGACTGGCCAAAACAAAGACGTATGGACTTTCTTGCCTGGGCTGGCTTCCAACTGCAATCCTTAGGTTTCAGCCTCCTAACTAGGATTATAGTTTTAGGATTATAGACTTAAGTCAGTTGGCCAAATGTTAGACTAATTTCTTAAATCCCATTTGACTTTTTTATACTTTTTATTTTTTTAAATTTTCACACAATTATTTTAAGACCCTTATTAACAGGTGCTTGTGGTGACTTTTTTGAAAAAATTAAGTTGTAAACTTTTATTACAAATTAAAAATGAAGTTCTTAAAAATCTCAACTTGACCGGATATGAAACACCTTAAAAACCTTTAAAGGCATAATGAGATTTTTTTTTTATACTTTTTATTTTTTGAGAGAGGTGTTCACTATGTAACCCAGGCTGGCCTCAAATTTATGACCCTCCCACTTCAGCCTCCTAACTGCTGGGATTGCTGATGTGCATGCCTACTGACATCATTTATGGGAATAATTCAATTGGTGACATTTTGTGTGTGTGAGAGAGAGAACTCACTGTACACATATCTTCTTTTTTTTTTTTTTTGGGTCCGGTCGTGGGGCCTGAACTCTGGGCCTGGGCACTGTACCTCAGCTCTTCAGCTCAAGGCTAGCGCTCTACCACTTGAGCCACAGCACCACTTCCAGCTTTTTTTCTTTTTATGTGGTGCTGAGGAATCGAACCCAGGGCCTCATGCATGCAAGGCAAGCGCTCTACCACTGAGCCACCTTCCCAGCCCATGTACACATATCTTCTACGTAATTATATTAATTCTCTAACCTTGTTCTCTAAAATCTTCTAGCTTAAGTTTGATATTACATGTGTATTTCCTTCTCTGAACATAAATTCTGATGCAGATATAAATTGTTTTAGCCCATAATCTTTTTGTCAGGAAAACAAACAAACAGAAAACTGGTAAGAGCCAGGCACCGGTGGCCCATGCCTGTAAACCTAGTCACTCAGAAGGCTGAGATCTGAGGATTGCGGTTCAAAGCCAGGTGGGGCAGGGGCAGGAAAAATCCATGAGACTTATCTCCAATAACCACTCAGAAAACCAGAAGTGGTGCTGTGGCTCAAGTGGTAGAGGGCTAGCCTTGAGCTGAATTGCTGAGGGACAGCACCCAGGCCCAGACTTCAAGCCAAAAAAAAAAAAAAAAAACCCAAACTTGTTAGAGGAGGCAATTTATGGGAATAGCTTCAATTTGTTGTAAACAGTTTCTATGGTGCCCCATAAACCCGAGACACCAAAATCTAATCTGCAAGATATTTTTGATTTTCTTCTTGTACTTGGCAGGAACTTGAGTTTTGTTTGAATTGGGACATTATGAATAAACCCAACATCCTTAGTGCAACAAAGAGCAAAATAACTCAAGCAGTATTCCCAATGCAGTCTTCTCCAAGGCTTTCGCCTGATTTATTTTATTTTTATTTTGTCAACCGTGGGGCTTGAACTCAGGGCCTAGGTGCTATCCCTGAGCTTTTTTGCTCAAGGTTAGTGCTCTACCACTTTGAGCTACAGATCTACTTCTGGTTTCTGGTTATTAATTGGACTTTCCTGCCTGGGCTGGCTTTGAATTGCAATTTTCAGATCTCAGCCTCCTGAGTAGCTAGTATTACAGGCACAAGGCACCAGTGCCCAGCTTTTTGCCTAATTTTTAAGTGCTGTCATATTTCCCCCTCACTCGGTTGACACACATCTGTCACGGTATTTATATGAATGTAGGTACTGTAGATAACTAGTAACAAATGTAAGCACAGGTGGTAGCAAAAATACTTATTCCAGAATGGTTCATGGCCACACCCAAGGACACAAAAAAATGCATATTAGTACAGCTGAGCCATGAATTTCTCTCTTTATTTGGCAGCCTCATTGGTCCTATATTTCATAGTGTCAGAAGATAAAAAATCATACTAGTAGTTCTGGAAAAAAAAAAAAAACTTCCTGGAAGCAGAATGAGATTGGAATGTCTCCCAGGATGCTTACATGGAGCTCATACTGTAAAGCACTATGTGAGTTCAATCCCCAATACCTAAAAAAAAACAAAAACAAAAACAAAAAAACAAAAAAAAAAAACCCACCCAAACACATCAATTTTCCTACCAAGTACAAAGACCTGAGTTAAGTCCCCAATACCACCATCAATAATAACAACAATAATATAATGATGAACAACAATAATATAATGATATGTTATATGAGTAGAATCCTTGATAGCATCTCTGTCTGGTGGCCAGTTCAGAGGGTTGCTTCTTATAGCCTGATGGCAGCATACATTAAAAAAGGCCATTCACTGGAATACAGCAGTGCTTCTGAAGTATGGCTTACCATTTTATCTCCAGCAGCTAGAACAGAAATGGGTAGATAGGTCTCAGTAAGTGTTTGTTTTGTGACTGTCTAATGAAGAAGACCCAGTTTAAAGACTTTCTGGAAGAAGACTCTTGAGTACCAAGACCTGAAGTTCTACTCCTTTGAGTAGAGGCCAAGGCCTCCTTTTTGTAGCTAGTAAGCAGAGTACTTATGGCATGTTTCTTCTATTATTGGGTTAAACTGCCACTTTAATGCTAAATTTCTTATATCTACTCTAAATCTGAGAGTCGGGCCAGGGGTGTTT